CAGAATGGGAAAGACAAGAGAACATGCCATTTGAGTAAGGCAGATGTGTTCTGATCTTCATAAGTCAGGAAATGGTTACAAGAAAATAGCTACTCGCCTGAACTTGCCCAAATCCTCAGTCAGAGCAATAATAAAAAAAATTATAAAACAACTGGAACTGTGACAAGCAAGGCTGGATGAGGACCCAAGCTAATCTTGCCACCATGCACAGTGAGGAGGATGGTAAGGGAGGTAAAAATTCTCCAAAGCTCATTATTAGAGAAAAGTGGCATCTGGGGGTCACCAAGCCTCCATAACAACCATTAGACCCTACCTACATGGCAACAGGATGTTTAGGAGGCATGCCAGGAAAAAGCCTTTGCTGTCCTACAATCACAAATGTAAACATGTTAAGTTTGCTAAATGCTACTGGGACTTTAACTGGAACCGTGTGCTTTGTTCAGATGAGACTAAGATTGAACTTTTTGGCAACAAACACTCCAGATGGGTCTGGTGTAAAACAATGCAACTCATGTCCACTGTTAAGCATGGTGGAGGATCTGTGATGCTGTGGGCCTGTTTCTCTTCCAAAGGCCCTGGGAACCTTGTTAGAGTGCATGGAATCATGAACTTGTTGAAATACCAGGCCATTTTAAATAAAAATCTGGTGGCCTCTGACAGGAAACTGAAAATGGGTCATCATTAGGTCTTTCAGCAGGATAATGATCCAAAACATATGACCAAATCAACACAGAAATGGTTCACCAGACACAAAATCAACCTTCTTCCATGACCAGCTCGGTCCCCAGACCGAAATCCCAGAGAAAACCTGTGGGGTGAGCTGAAGAGGAGAGTGCATAAGGGAGGACCCAGGACTCTGGAGGATCTAGAGAGACTGTGCAAAGAGGAATGGTCAAACATCCCTCTCTGTGTATTCTCCAGCTTTGTGAAATGTTTTAGGAGAAGATTAAGTGCTGTCCTATTGGCAAAAAGGGGTTGTACAAAGTATTAACAGCAGGGGTGCCAATAATTGTGGCACCGGTGATTTTGTTAAAAATAATTATTTCTTAATGATGGATTTAAAATAAAAAAAATAACTTTATTTGAGTTAAAGGTCAGATTTTTTCTAATTAGAGATTATTCTACTGCAATAAAAAAATGAATTTATTATAAGTCTATGTACACATCTTTACCATGGGTGCAAATTATTGCGGAAGGTGCTGTGTATATATATATATATACACTCACCTAAAGGATTATTAGGAACACCTGTTCAATTTCTCATTAATGCAATTATCTAATCAACCAATCATAT